TTTTTTTTTTTTTTTTTGTTCTTTTTTGCGGCATATATTTTTCCTTGCATAATTTTCCACACTAGTATCTACCTTATGCATGGCTTGCTTATTCATGAGAGAAATATTTTCCAACGTGGTGCCGAAGTTCACCTCTTGGGCAACGTCTTCCTCATCATCCCCACAGCTGTCCACCTCTGCATCTGAATCTTCAAAGTTGGTGTAATCCGTGTCATTGCAGCTGGTACTACTGTGGTCATCTCCTCCTTGGTTCGTTCCCTCTTCCCCTAGGTGATGGAAAATTTCCAAGGCTTTTAAATGGAGGCAATTCTCCTCATGTTCAAATGGACCGTTACAATTACGTCGTGTCTGTCTCATCCGATTGGTGCAATTCCATTGGGGTTGCTCACATGTGTGGTTAGTGCTGCTGCTCTTTTCCTGCCCACCCACTTCCTCCTCACGGTGACCCAAATTAGTTGCATTGATTTCTTTTATCACATGGCATCCTTCTTCTGCGACGTCACAACTTTTATTTTCTTTGAAACCCCCCTGGGGGTTGCACTCCAAATGGAGGTCTCCGTCTAAGGACATCTCCTGGGATTCCTTTTCCATTTGCATTAACTCTACCCATTCGCTACGAACGACATACACAGGTCGGCGTTATGTATGTGGGGGTGCACCTTGACCCGTCTTCCCTTCTCTCGAACGGTTCAAATGGGTACCCAAAAAAAACGTGGTAGACGGGGGAAAGCATCCCATGGATACTTCAAAAAACGGATGCACCTCCGTATGACCAACGCGCTTCCAGTCTCAGTGTCACTTTACACGGTATGTCCCCACGCGTGCAGACGAGCTGACCACATGGCATTCTCTGTTGGCCCACAGCGTGCGCATGAAGGACGGGAATACATTCACTTCATCGTATGCTTCATCCTGGCCGTGATACAAACATTCAGCCAGATGATGGTGTGTCAGTTTTAACCACTTGCCAAATGCTCACTGCGGAAAGGGAGTTCCACAGTGGGCAAAAAAATAAGTACACTCATAAAAAGGCAGCAGAAGAGAAGCAACAGAGGAGCAGCATCAGCCGCAGCAGCAGGAGGAGGAGGAACAAGAAAGGCTGCTCCCCAACTTATAACTGCCTTAAAATAAAAACACAAACATTTCGCGAAAGAGTAAATGGGGAAAAAGTCAACGCGACGCGCAGGGCAGGAAGGATGGATCGACCTGAGTTAAATCTTCGCAGGGGATGGTAAGCTCATTTGTGGGATGAAAAAATAAAGTGAAACGAAGCGAAGCAAAAATAAAATGAAGTCAAATGAAGCAAAACGAAGCAAAATCAAGCTAAACAAAATAACAGTTCAGTTACGTTCTACATAATGCCCAGAGGGGGGAGGAGGCCACCGCGCAGACGAAAAAAAGTGCGTGGGCGCAGAGTATGGCCTTGGGGGAGGGGCACCTCCTTTTTATGAGGCCTGCAAAAAGCCCGTCGATCATTTTTTCCTCTGGGGGATATGAACACGCGGTGCGCTATATAACCCTAGCAGGAGGTAACATAATGGGGTTAATGGAGAACCGCCTGAGTGAAATAAAAAAAAAAAAAAAAAAAAAAAAAAA